ACATTAATTTGTAATGCAAATAGTGTGAATCAATCAGGCACACTACAGTAAATCGTGCTTACCCACGATTATTAGATCAATGAAATTGTTTCATCTACTAAATACTATAACGTACATTCTGAATCTACAATTATGGAAAACGAAAATGATCTTGGAAGTCAACATTATTTTTTATATTTCACCTGCTGTTATTTTATCTTTTGTACAGTCGATATTTTATCTCTTCCATAGTGTTTGCAAAATTATGCAATTATCTCATTTCACAGATTTTTGTAAATTAAACTCTCACAGGTTTACTAAATTACACGCATCAGTGTCGATTTTTTTTAAATTAGAAATCTTAAAAAAAAAAAGAAAAAAAGAAGAAAAAATAGCATGTTGCGAGATTTATTCGCACGTAACGTTTATAAAGTTGAAAATAACTCTCGAGAATTTATTTCCAACTACCTGATCTTGTTCTTCTCATCGAAACTTCGAAAGAAATTATATCGACGTTGAGAACGACGACATTCGGCTCGAGAAGAGTTTAATCCGAGTGTACATTGCTCTTCGAGAGAAGGCGGAGATAAAATTATAAAGTGCAAGAGACACAGGTATGCTATAATGAAATTTAAAAGATCACAAAGTAGCGAATGGACAAAGGTGGCTCGTTATTTACGTGGTAAATTCAGTCATTAAACTGGGAGAAAGGATAACTTGACTAACGCGAAGAGAAAGCTTGAAAAGAAGAAAGGAACCGGAGAGAGGATTCAGCGAAGTGAGAGAGGTCAGAGGTATCGAGTCAGAAAATGGATGAAACAGAATTTTCTTCGCGGCGAAGTCTAGACGGAAAAGATATAAAGAAAATTGACACACGCGCACATACGTTGTTGGTATTATGAAGGAAATAGAATTGTATCCAACAAACAGGAAGGAAATTTCATAAGTCGATGTCTTGAAATTTACTTTCTCTAAAGATTTCAAAAATTTCTATATTTAGTTCTGTGTTCAGAGTTCTATTTTTTAAAATTTCTACGTTTCCTATGTGAACAATTTCCTATATTTTTAAAATCTCTATATTCTCGCGATATTTTGAAAATGTTTCGACTTGAACAATTTCTCAAACAGAGGTGAGATTAATTTGTTACCAGTTTACGTCTGTTCCGACGACGACAGAGTTGGAATAAGATCGATTTGTTATGAAGTTAAATTAGTTCTTTCAAACTCGTAGTAAGAGATCAATTATTTTCTAAGATTGTGCCAAACTGAATTTCTATGAAGGAAGAGAGATTATTTGCTAATAAATATTAGTCGTAAATTCTGTTAAACGATGAACAAAGCGAGAATGAGAAATATCACATCCCTTTCTGTTATTTCTCATTTTTGAGCAGATTTATAAGAAGAACGAGACTTAACATTTAACGAAATTAACATTTGACGAAATAAAACAGATTGGCATAACAAAAATTAAGAAAGATATAACAGTAAACTACTAAAAGATTCAATTAGAACAAAATTGTTTCATGAATGTGTAAGTATTACATGGACAAAATGACATGTTAATAATTCATTATTTCATCGCTATTCACGGAACACGGTTTCAATTTCAACGTTATTAACATTTAGTAGCAATAATAAATTTTAGTTACAGTTATTAAACCGTAAAATTAGCTGTCAAACGTAAAATAACTAGCAATTAATTGGCTATTAAAACGTAAAATATTATCGTGTATTATATTAATCTTCTCTTTTATTCTTTTCTGCGTAACTATAGATCCAGTGGAGTTTTTCTTACAATAAGCTTTTCGAACGATCAAAAATACATGTGAGGTTAGATAATAATATCTTCGTATGACAAAACGCAATATTTCATTGTGTATAGGAGAATGTTGTTTCTATTTGTTTAAGACGTTCACATGATACTTGTTTCTTTATTTTTATATTTGCTTCCTTGATCTACTATTACGTCGAGTTATGAAAATTTATTGCTCTGGTAAACAACGGTTCGGAGCAAAGAGCAATAAATTGTAAAACGATATGTTGAAAAAGAAAGGCAAGCTCCCATACTCATAAACTTGCAATACTATAAAAGATCTTCTACAGAAGATGACTGGAAAAATTCAAATGGAAAGTTACAGCTGATAAGACGTTTCGATAAAAACACCAGTAATTTCCACGAATTACTCGCACAAAGTTCAACCGAGAATTTTATCTTCAATAATCATTGAACGTAGAGATTTTAAGAAACGGTATCACCATCGTCGTTCGAGGGCTTGTAAATTCTTAAAACGAGCCGATCCTCTTTAAATTATAAAGAAAATCCAACTTAACGAATGATCGTCCTCCACTGTCAAAACTCTCGAGATTTTCAAAGCGAACCAATTTTTTTTCAAAGTACAAAGAAACGTTACAGAGCGATACACCCATGCCCCATATAAATAACCAATCAAAAAAGAAAAAGAAAACAAAAAAGCTACTTCCTCGCTTCGTTCGAAATAATTTACAGGTCAGCGAAAATTCCGCTCTCGAACGGTGTATTTCGACGCCGATATCTCACCGATAAAAGACTACGGTTTCACAGAGCGGACGCTGTATAATCGCCATAAATTCGGTGACGGTGCGTTGCCAATCGTTCACAACGACGTGAATGTCTTACGAGTTCATTCACGCTGTCGCCCGCTCTGTCAACGAGCCAGTTGCGCACACAGGAATCCGATTTGCGAACGCGTAACGTCGATATTTGATTTATTCGACACCGTCCGCGGGAGAGTCGTGCGAAAGCGTGGCCGAAACAGAGATCCGCGCGCGTTTTCCATTATTCTTGCGCGTGTGTTCCGACACTGCGCGTCTCTCCTTGTCCCTCCCGGTTTGTTTCGTTTTTTTCGTTTTTTCTTTCTTTCTTTCTTTCACCGGCCAGCCAGGGGATGGTTTTTGTTCGCCGGCAGAGCTCGCAATCAACGCCCTTTGTCTCTCTTAAGCTCGGCCTGCGTTGAAAACTCGAGCGTGTCGCGCTCGATGAGAAGCATCGAGGCCGTTTTCACTGATAAATTCCGATCGAAATTCATGGCGAAACAGTGGACTCCCCTGTATATGGATTCTATGCGAGGGGTGGAAATTGATTTGCGCAGCCCCGGGGTGTCGATTGTAAGTAAAAGAAAAACGCAGTAATTGGTCACGTTTGAAACAGCGCGACATAGACGCGCGCGGGTGATGCGCCTCCCTCTCCTGTGTTTTCCGCGGCACTGCGCGTTTCCGTGCAATTTTCATGCTGCCGGTGCGTTTGTCCCAGTAATTTTGCAACTGGATATGTGAACAAATCTTTTTAGGGATGGATGGAGAGAAGGTCGAACAGAACGTGATAATAATTTCGTTATCGAAGTTAAATCGACAATTACATTCTCGATGTTTCAGTTAGGTAACTGAGTGGTTTTTAAAAGTAATGGGAAATTTAGAACAACTCACGATCATTTTTTTTTGAGAGTCACTTGTTTGATTCATATTTATTTGGTACGTACGTACAATTATTTCAAGGGAATAATAGTTTATTATTACTTAAAAGTTTTTAAAATAAGAGCAATATTTGATTCGAAACTAAGTAATTAAATAATTTTTTATGCAACGAAAGTTATACGTATATGTAAAAATTTCATTATCTACAATAAACACTGTGTAATGAATTTTTAATTAATATCATTCAACATAAAATGTGAGTCACAGTTTTTAGAGTCACGAATTTGAGTAGTTTAAAGTAAATCGTAATAGTTTATCTGTAATCCAACAGCATACTCGATGCTGTTTAATACTGTTTTGGATTTTCAAAAAGTGTACAAAAATTTTCTGTCAACTGAACGAGATCTTCACTGTCAAATCTTTGAAAGTTCTTTCAGAAAGAATAAAAATTTGCCTCACAGGAATTTATTTCCACTTATAAAAAAATGTCCCGAAACTTTTAATCAGCATTCTACATATTTAGATACATATTGAATACACATGTGTAAATTATATTAGGTTAGGTTAGGTTTATAATATTGAATGTACTAAATGTTAGTAATTATTCAGTAATTTAGCGTGTAATGGTTTATCTGTAATCCAACAATACTTCACACTTAATATTATTTAATTTTACTTTGGATTTTCACACAGTGTAAAAAAATTTTTGGCCAATTAATGAAGTCCTTACTATAAACAGACAATTAATTTTCAAATCTTTGAGAGTTCTTTATGAAGGATAAAAATTTAGTCTAGTTCTTTAAGAAGGATAAAAATTATGGAGAATAAAAAATTAGTCTAGTTCTTTGGGAAGGATAAAAATTTTCTTCACAGGAATTTATGAATGAAATTTCACTTGTAAAAAATCAAAAATGTCCTGAGACTTTTACTTAGGAGTCTACATATTTAGATAGAATATATATAAATATATATAAATTATAATATTGAACGTATTAAACATATTAAATTATTTATTATATTGTATTAAAATATTTAATGAAATATATTATATAATATTGAACACATTAAACTTATATTATGTCAAATATAATATTGAACTTGTATATATACCATAATATTGTAAATTATATTAATTATCATATAGTATAATATTGTATATTAAATCTTGAATAATATATATATATATATATATTAAATATAGTGTAATATAATTGAGTATAATATTATATATTAAATACCCCGTAACAAATCAAAACAGTTGAATTTCAAAACATTCCCACGACGCTTCTCATCCGATCGGAAAATCTCGATAATCTCGACTATAAGTTTCCACTCGATAATCCCTTGACATTGCACATTCCACGGTTCCATCGGGAACGTATGCAACGTCTGAGGGTTAGCCGCGTAGTTGCCCGCCGTGTGCCGTCGCGTCGCGTCGCGTCGCGTCGCGTCGTGGTGGCCATCGTCGTCCTAATTATATGTGTTTCTCCGTATTTCTGGAATTAGACTGAGGATGGGGCGCGGCGCGGTTGATTCTCTCACAGCGGCAAAGCGGAGGCGTGCTTCGGAAGCTCAGTCGCGCGTGATCCACCTCGAATCGCGCAGTCATCATCCGCACAAAAGAAGCCACTTGGTCGCGCCTTCGCAGCAACCGGGCTCCGTCCGATGGGGCGTCCACCTAGGTATCGATCCGTGCCTCGAGTACCGATCGATCGTCGATCCTGCTGATCGAGGAAACCCTCTCGTTTCAATTTCTGCTTTGCCTTTCTGATATTTCCTCGTTGTTCTCTTCTTCGGTTAATAAGAAGAAACTGCCGCGGAGGAGAGTACCTTGCGTCGCAAGATTAGAATTCTGTCAAACAAAGAAAAGAAATTAGATAAATTCTGTTAGCCGAGAGCATACTCGTTGGAAAGTGTATTATTTAGAAGTAAATAGAGGAGAGAGAGAGAGAGAGAGAGAGAGAGAGAGAGAGAGAGATTACTTGGAACAAGAGCTGGAGAAGTCTCAGGTATTTCAGGAGTGTTCCTCGATCACACTGACCAAGAAGAGAGACAGTCAGCCCCCGAGAGATTGTCGATCGAGGAGCAACACACAACATCCGAGTGCGTATCGTGATTCAGTGAAAGGGGGTTGCGACTTTTCTTTTTCGCCGATCTCACAATCAGTGAAGTTCAAGTTGTGAAACGTTGAGAGAGGACCGCGAGCGATCGTCATGGCGACTACGCAGGTCTTCCAGGACTGGGACTCACCCCATGAGACCATCAGCTCAATGTCCCGGAAGAGTACCACTCGTAAAACTACCACCACCACCACCACCACCAAGAGCAGGCGTGAGGTAAGGAAGAAAGGGAGAACGATAAGAATTAAGTTTTTAACGAGAAATTCATCGATTAAGAGTCTGTTTTCGACGATTTTGTTGTAATACGGTTTCACATGTGATCTAACACATCGTTTCAATTGCAAACATTCTGCAAAACTAACACTAAACCTTGTTATTTTGAAACCTAAGAGGCTGGATATTGTTGGAGATTTCCATCAAACTTGCTCGTTCTATTTTCCATCGGATGGCGAGGATGAGAATTTTTGAATTATTAGAGTGTGGTTAGCTGTGAATTTATTTAAGACGCGGAGTAAGTTTGGAAGCTGGTAAGCCAGCTGTTTACCGTCGTTATGCGTGCTTCTGGTGAACTAGACGGATAGAGGTTGTTATGCAGGCATGAAACTACGAACGGACTTTTCTGCAGTTTCGCAACAGCTGAAACTGGGTCTCCCAGAAGATGGTTTTTGGAAAGGATTGTTTTGGAGACTGGCGTACGCTCGTTCTAAATATCGTTGGAGTCGAAAATTGATTTTAACATAGATGAAAAAAAAAAAAAAGAAAAAAGAAATTCCAAGTTTCGTGCAGTGTACTTTCATGTCAATTATTGACCTCTGCAATTTATATACGATGATATAAATTCCGAAGTGATGTTTGAGACGATTAAATTAAAGTACAAAGTGAACGCGAAAAAGAGCCCATTCACTTCTATCTTGAAACGATTTTGTAATTTTTAACTTGACGAAGCTCTTGATCGTTGGAACTAAAATAATCTCGAGACTTTAGATTACAAACTTTCTTCCATTAAAAAAACTGCAGACTTAATTCAATTTAACCAAACATGAGATAAAATTAATTATAAAAACTTTGTTAAGTATCCTAGAATTTTTCCCATTTTCTTTTTTTTTTTTTCTAGAGTTCGATATCTATTTTTATTGAAAAGAAGCCTTAAATATCTTACACGTTCAATCATTACATAATATCCTGGATGAAATAAAATGTTTTTAAATTTCACTGCCACGAAATATAAAAATAGACCTCCTCGCGTATAGATTGGCCATTAACGATACCTTCGAATGGAACAACCACAAAATTCAAATGATGCGCCTCGTGAGAGTCCCGCCTAAAATTAGAAGCATCCGCGATCAAGCGCAACCAATTCTCGGAAAATTCCAAATAATACTGTGTGCTCGATGTTCGTGCAACGACGTATCATCTTCTCGGTTCCGACATTCTTGCCGGAAGGTTGTCGCATGAACGGGCAACGTCTAACATTACGCAACGCGGCCCCGTTGATACGATTTAATAAATTGAACGCGAATCATAACGCTAGTTTAGGCATTGCCTAAAACGTAGTATGAAAATAGCGCGCTGTCCGTTGGTCGCTACACGAGCAACAGATTTGCTTCCGGTTTCGGATCCGACCTCGAGTATTTTCCGCGAAGGAGAAACATTGGGTGAAATACGCGATTGTCTTTGTTGACGGACTATTATTAACAAATTAACACGTTGCGATTCTCTGAGAAGGATTCGTGGAAAATTGGGAGAAGCAAAAATCCGTAAAACGCGTATGCGAAATATATAAAATATTTAAAGCTCTATCTACTCTATTACCAGTAGAATCATTTATTACAGAGGTGGCTAACTGGCGGCCCTTGCCCCTACTTTCCTGATCGCTACCCCCTCCACTGCATCGTTACCCTCTCCCTACTAAGAAAATGAAGAGATCGACGTAGTGGAGGGGATAGCGATCAGGAAAGTAGGGATAAAGCCACCTCTGATTTATATTATTTATTATACATAAATTTCTATTTATATTCCATTCTTTTTGCTGTGTTGATAAATCCGTCAAATAATCGAGGCATAAAATTATACTCACGTAAGAATCAGAAGCGAGAAATTGTAAGAGGATGTAGGTGTAAGGTGTTTTATGAGAAGTGGATTTATTTTGAAAGTTTCTTATTTTTTTTTTTTTTTTTTAGGGGACAGGCACCCCCCCGGTGGCGCGCGCGGCCCCCCCCGCCCCCCGCGAGCTTTTTTGAGCTTTTTTTTGAATTTTGAATTTGTTTTTTGAATTTTTTTTTTTTTTTTTTGAAATTTTTTTTTTTTTTTTTTTTTTTTTTTTTTTTTAAGAGGTAGTTAAGATATTTTTTTTTTATGACGTCCTTTTTGTTTTTCAAACTTCGAAGTGTAAAAATGTATTGAAAGTTAACCTGTCGAAGAATAATATTTGCAAGATTGATTTTTATCAATGTGAATTATAATTCTTGAACGAAGGAACGAAGGAACAATTTTCAAGTAAATTATTTTAATCGTGACACTTCTGATTTCCTTTAAACCTTAAATAGATATAAATTATATGCGGACCAATTATGTGAACATGTTTTATAAAAGTGTAGATTTGAGACACATAGAGAATATTATAATCTAATAATTAAAAAACCGAAAAATATACCAAACATGCGTATTTAATGTCAATGTCAAATCTGCAAATTTAACATCGAAGCAACTAGAAATCACAATTTTCCGAAATTCGAAATTTGATAGATTTACTGCAGTTTCTAGAGAATTATTCTTTGATTTTCCTAATACAAATTTTATATTTCAGTTCATATTCCCAGCACTCGCAACGGCTGTTCATTAACAATATTATTATTATTATTATTATTATTAACAATTAACAATTAACAGTATCATAGATATCTGTGCAAGGAACAAAGTTGTTATAATTATAATTATTAAATCACGAGCGAACAATTCGCACGATCATTTGCGTAACTTGTCCGAGCTTTTCGAAGCTCGGTGTTCTCTCCTCGGTTAGGCTCCTGCGTTTATAGGAGCGTTGCCAAGGCCGATCTGCCTCTTCGAAATGAAATCGTGATAAACACCCGTGAAAATCGTGAACACGATGAGTAATCTCATCTCCGCTGGCTGTCTGCTGTTCTATATATTCTTCGCCGTTTATAGTCCATTTCCATGAAGATGGAAAGATGACAGTGACCGTGTCAATGAACGGTATATATCGAAGTTTCCAGCGGGTTTCGCATGAGCATCTTCTATTGTGATATTTTAAAATATTTCCAAGAGTTGCGCTCGTGTCACAGAGTGGTGTGCAAAAAGTTTCCAGCCAGGCAGATTTTTCATTTCGTGTTTTGTTTTTAGTGTTTTTATTTTTAGTGTTTCACATTTTGTATTTTATATTTAATCGCGAGACACATCTCGACTTGTAATCGTTCCGAAGCGAAGATTTCTCCGGCTGATGTATACAAAATTTAAATGTTTCGTTACTAATGGAGATTTTCATTTGAATACTGAAGAGAATATTTTAACTTTTAATGTAAATTTTTAGATAGAGTGAAAGCTGCGTGCCGTGATCAATTATTTATGTGTTCGTTATTATGTAATTACGTTACGCTGGTAATTGAAGCAGAGTATAAGATAAGAATGTTACAAAGAAATTTCTGCTCAGGTTTCTGACTTTCTCGCTTTATTGCTAGCAAAAGGTATACATACTTGTCAGAATTTATTCATTAATTTTTGCGAATGGTTAATTATTGGAATAGGTATTGCTAGAATATATAATATCAGTTATTAAAATACTTAGTCCAATTTACCAATTTATCTTCCCTGAAATAAAAAATCTGAAGGTCAGAAACTGAATGATAGGAATATTAAAATCGCAAACAGAGTTAGAAAGCAACTGGTAGAATAGGACAAAAATTCCTTTGCTCACGGCAACGCAATTACATAATAATCAAATGAATAGTTGTGAAAATTTAGCGAGAATTTTGCAGGGGCTTCTATTTATAAACGCGTTTATAACGTTGTTTCGACAATGTAAATCAGCATGCTTTCTATATACATACGTATGCATGTCATCAACGGTTTCTTTGTTTGCAATATGTTTGCCAATTTTGAGGTCAATTTTAAACAACGCCATAAATAAATATTTTAGCAATGTTGTGTTGGATGGTGCGCACAGTAATTTAATCATAATGAACGATCGGAATTCGGAGCGCAGTGGAACGATGCCATTGTTGGTCAGGCACGTGGGCATACGATTTTTAGCATACCGTAGTCGTTATATTAATAATATCTGAGAGAAGAGACTTAATTTATTTTTATCGACGTTATTTAAAATATTTCATACTATTATCACTCAATATTATGAACAATAATTTGTTATTGTTATTCTTTTACAAAATTGGACTCTGGCTTCTTGTACGATACTATTCTTGCATCAGTTTCTAAACTGAAGCGAAGAATTTTGGTATGTTTATCGATGTTTCTTCTTCAATTTCTTTATAGTCAAAGGAATAAATTTAATCACAGTTAAAGTCAAATCGTCAGTTGATTTATGGTCAAAGGAACGAATTAAATGAAAGAAATCTATGGTTATTTCTTAATAATCACGCAATCGGAGTGGAATATGATGGATGATAAAATATAATAAGTACAAAAAATACAGAAAGTATAGAAAATTACATGGAATATTTAATTTGGATATTTTATTTATATCGTGCGCATTCTGTGTAATTTTTCACCCTCTCGCGCGTCTATTTTACTACATCACAGAGTACAAGACTCCAACGAACATGACAAACATCTAGGATCTTCTCGCTACGTTCGACGATGCGTTCGAAGAGATACTTTTCATTTTTAGTTACTGGACGAACAAATCTCTCCTTAAATTCTTGCGGATTTAAGTTTTCGAAGCGGAAGGACAGGATGAATAATACTTTCGGAAAATAATAGCTAGAGCAACGTTCTTAGTCGAGCATCTTGATGAATCACGGTCTATTACACGCTTTTTATATTTCTCATTTTCGTTTGTCTCTCTCTCTCTCTCTCTCTTTCTGTTCTGAAATTTCGCAGTACACGTGTCACGCAAAGCGAGTTCTCGTTTCAGAAAAATGTTCGAAGACAATTTCGCCTTGGTAATGGACATTTCTTTGACTCGGCACAGATGTTTCCAATCGAAACCTGTCAATTTTACAACGCGCAATGGAGAATATCGG